GTGCGTCCATACCGGTTGAACCAGCCAACCCCCATGGGGAGAAACAAAGGGAGGTGGAATGCTGCCCTGGCTGGGGGCAGGGCTTGGAGAGGGGAGTTAGTTCCTGGCTGGAAAGCAGGGAAGAAGGAACTGGGGAGGGGGCTGGGATCCCCCCATCTCAAGGGGGGCACTGAGGCCTCTTAGCCCCCAGTTCCTGTAACCTGTGCTGTATCCTGGAGGAGCAATAAACCACCCTCAATTCCACTGGCTGGTGGAGTCTGTTTGTGCCATTTCGGGGTGCAGGAGATGGGGGACCCCCAACGCGCCGTCACATGGGGTTACCACAGACCCATAGAAACCAGCAAGTTCCCCCCCACTACGTCACAACCCCTTTTTCAAAAAAATTAGACGTACCCCCAGGACCTACAGTTTTCAGACACACACAATTTTTGTCTCCCTTTGGAACACATTTGTTTAAACAACTGAATTGTAGCTGGGTAGGCGATGACATTTTTGGGTGTAAAAAGTAGAAAAATAATAAAGCTCTGTAAAACTTCAAACCAAAATTCAGTTTTCTCCAAATGTCAGTTGTGTTGATGCAGAGTGGATCCCACTTGCCCTGTAATCCCATTTCAGCTGCACTGCCAGGGCCCTCTGGCCCCCATTCCCACAGCCTCTGAGCACCTTGCCGTCTTTCGGGATGATCCTCACTCCACCCCGGGAGGCAGGAACGGTCATCTCCCCATCGTACGGGGAGGGGAACTGAGGGGCTAATTGACTCGCCCAAGGTCCCGCAGAAGCAGGGAACTGAATCAAGGTCTCCAGCATCCAAGTGTTCTCACCACTGGGCCACACTTCCTCTCGACATGGCTATTTGAGTGCCTCTCGGCAGCCTCTTCAGCCCTTGGCATGGAGATAACCCTGGCCTGGTTCACAGGAGACCCGCATTCCCGTCGGGGGGAGAGGCAGAGCCGAAGTGGAACGTCGCAGTTACCACTTTGCCATGAGTGGAAGATCTTACCAGGTCATTACCCAGCATTTCGGCTATTTACTCCCAAAGGTAAGTGCTGGGCTGTCTGAGCCAGGGCCTGCCCCGAGTGACTCCGGGGGAGAGCGTTCGCAGGCGCGGTGTCTGCTGGGTTTGTTCACAACTGTCCAGTTCATGGGTTTCCAAACTGGGGCACATGAAGAAATTCCGGGGGGCGTGAGGCAACCCAGCTCTCCCCCCATTAATTCCCTCTCCCCCAAGTTTTGCTGCTATTTTTGTTTTTCGGCCCTGGTCATAAAATCATAGAATCATAGAACCATAAAGCTGGAAGAGACCTCACAAGGTCAAGTCCAGCCCCCTGCTCTAGGCAGGACCAATCCCAACAAGATCAACCCGACCAGGGCTTTGTCAAGCCGAGACTTAAACACCTCTAGGGATGGAGACTCCCCTACTCCCTAGGGAACCCAGCCCAGCGCTTCCCCACCCGCCTAGGGAAATAATTTTTCCTAATATCCAACCTGCACCTCTCCCACCACAACTTGAGCCCATTGCTCCTTGTTCTGCCACCTGCCCCCACCGAGAACAGCCTCTTTCCAGCCTCTTTGGAACCCCCTTCAGCAAGTTGCAGGCTGCTCTCAAATCCCCCCTCACCCTTCTCTTCTGCAGACTAAACAGACCCAACTCCCTCAGCCTCTCCTCGTAGTTCATATGCTCCAG